GTATGAGTGCATTTGCCGAGAAACGAAATCCAAAATGGACCTCAACTTGAGAAATTGAATAGAAATTACGTTGTCATAGGTGCTCAATCTACGTTTTCATTTTTCATAAGCCAATTTCGTTCTGTGATTACTAACAGACATCTGAATGAAGGATTCTCATTTTCCATCATTTTGCGTCCCACAGGAGAGTAACAGAAGTACTGTCAGAGAGTTTCCTGATAGTGAACGCAATTCTACACCCACCATGATCTAATTATGATAGTGTATGAAAGATATGTAGGCCAATTAAGCAAAACATTGCCCACTACCGCAAGTCGGAGGATTGAGGCAGTAGGTTCGAGCGTTAGATAGGAAGTGAATAGTAATGAAAAGCTTGAAAAATAAATGGAAGAAATTCCAGTTACAAAACAAAAATGGACTCCGTTAGTAGTTCAGTATTTTGGATGTCAGCATTTTTCAGTTAATACTATATAAAATATCTATACTTTTGAGTATTTGACCGTGTACAGGCAAAGTTTGGTGTAATATTTTCGGTATTTCCTATTTTCAAACCTTTACAAAAGTGCCTGCTAGTACTACTCCTGATTCATGGGCCGTTTTTTCCAACATATCTCACTGTTTCCCCCGTTATCATGAAAGTCCAAAAAAGTCAAAAATGATTGTTGCTCAGAAATACACAAGGGATTAATTTTCATTCAATTCGTGTTGGGATGGTAGCATAGCCAAAAAAATATGAGGGAGTTAGCCAAACGATTGAAGAGAGGAAAATGATTAAAATCTATCACACTTTAATTGCTTAACCAGAAAATCATGCTCAACTTTCAGCTTTTCCCTTGAGTTACAATGTAGTAATCTTAAACTCTACAGATAACAATTGAATATATACATGAAGCACACTGAATATGACGGACTGGTGCAGCCGCGAAAAAGTCTCAATCGAATAAAAGCTGTCTTGAAGGACAAAACGGTCTGTGGGCAGAAAAGGACTGCTTACGACAGTTGCATTCACCATTTAAAATTTTAAAAAAGTTTTCTCCTCTTCGTCTTCTATTCGGTAATTTCTTCTTCTGACGAGTATGAGTCACTATCCTGGCCAATACCAGAAACAGTCTTCGCGGTGAATTGCTCTTCTTCATTAGGTTTCCCACCCTGGTCAATTTGGTCCATAACTTTCTCAGCTATCTTCTCTCCAGCAAGGGAACCACCGACAGCGCCAACGACGCCCCCCACCACTCCTCCAATAACCGTTCCTACTCCAGGGAAAATAGCGGTACCAGCAGTCGCTCCTCCAACAGCTCCTACAAAACATCCAGTTTGATGGTGTGATGGACCTTCGAAGCACATATTATATACTTTGATATTATTTGTGTTTCCCATATCCCAGTTTTGATATTAGATGCTCCCAGGTGATTTTCAACGCACTTGCATGCCTGACTGATTTCAACCGAGTTATGGCAGAGTCGTTACGCTACCGCATGTATGGTCCAGGCAAACGGTGTTATACTCACCCAACCCTACCAGGCCTTGTGTCCTCCGCGTCGGTCGAACTGTGCTAGATTTCTCTGACTAGTCGGGAACACTTAGTTATACTTCAGTATTAAATCGTTATACGGGCCAAATCCGAAGTCAATACCACCACGATTCCGAATGAAAGTTGAATGCGTGGCTAATCCAAAAACGAGGTCTTCAAACTCTAGAAACATCATCTCGTCTGTTACCATTATCACGAAAATTCACAGTGGTAAGCCTTTTGTATTGGATACGGACGAAAAATTAATACTGTCTATGCCAATCCATGTACATCTACACTCGAGGGCCCGAAACTCCCTAACCTAGCTGACATCGATTCCTTCCATAGAACAGATACTAGACGTGCTGTCATTGAGGAGTGGTGTCTTTCCATTACAGAGAGTGATCTATGGCACTCGCTGATTTACTTTAGGGGAATAATTTACTCACCTCCATATCCAGCACTCCATCCTCCAGCAATCGACGATGCGCTCTTGACAGTGTTTTTTGGAATTTTATTTTCTTGATCAATGTCCTGTTGAATGGACATTCCCAATCGGACGGAATCAATGGCGATTGCCGCGGGCAATAGCATTTTGTTGGCAACTCTTTCTATGTGAGGAAGTTTACTCGCTCCCTGAAATAGTGGCAGGTATTTGTAGATTCTTTGTAAGCGGTTTTTACTTCGGGAGTCACCTGCACAGCAGCTTGCACAAAAGTTGACTGACAAGCTTTCTGTATAGCGTTCATCGTGGTTGTATTTTTGGCGACTGGAACTGCTTCAGCAGCAGATCCCTTGGCCAAATGTGTATTCTTTGCCACAGTATTCGGTCTTCTGCCAACAGACTTCTTATGTTTCTTGGGTTTCTTCCTTTTCTTCATATCACCATTCTAAGTCTGAATAAATAGCATGTAGAAATTCGCGACATTACCATATCACATCAAAGCACGCTCAGAGATCCAGAGAGTCTTTGAGACGAATTTTAACGAGGATTTTGAGAAATTGAAAAATTCAGAGGATGCTTGCTCTATGTCACAGATTCGGTGCTACAGTTAAGGATGACGAAACTACATGTAATCAATGATAGCAAGTGATAAAAATGAAGAAAGTGTTAAAGAGCAATAGCACCTAATTGTCCAAATGCATGGACGGATGCCATGTTTGAGCGTGGAGCTTACCGAGTACTGAACCGCAACTGATGGGAGGATCGTACAAATTAATCAAACCCTTCCGTGCATCACAATACCAGTTATCTTAACTTATGAATTGAACTTTTCATTCAGACTTGATTGTAGAGGTTGTTCCACTCGAGGATAATAAAGGTGAAAAAGAAAGTTACCGAAACCTGCATGACTCCCTTTTCGCCGAAGCTCGACAATTTTTGGTCGAGTTTCCCTTTTTTTCTTTTTTTTTATCTATGGATTGCCAGGGAGCCAAGCAACGTAAAGTTAGACGGACTCTTCGTTATGTGCCATGTAATTTGCCTCGACTCTTGAAGGCACAGTTCACGAGAAAATGGTTTCCGAAATTTCACAATAAGGGGCCAGACCTTGTATCGTGTGAATGCCACACCCACAGCGGACGTGTCTCAACGGTGTTGTAGAGGCTGCACTATCTCAAGGGACTCCCATGTAGGAAGTTTTAACAACTTGCCACGAACCATGGTGACAGTGGAAAGCAGTTTTAGACAATTTTGTTTTGATGTAGTCAGCTGTTTCCGCAGTTGCCACAGCTGAAATCTTGTCCAATACCCATCCATGCTATTTCCGTCATGGTAATCTCGTACAACCGCTTTATTTTTCGCAAAGTAGGCGGATTCCCTCGCTTTCTTCGCCACCAATGCACTACATTACATCAATACTTCCTCTCAACTTAAAATGGGTACCTTAAAATTATCGTGAACTGTGTCTTTAGTCGAGGTAAACCTGTGACTAATCTTTGAAGCCAATTAGTCGAACCCAAAAAAAGCTGATTTACAATTCCTCATGGCATTCCGTTACATGAATAAGAACAACAATCGTACCATCACAGTTCAAACTCGTGTGGTTGTCGGTTTCAGTCTAACTACCGCTTTTTTATCAGAAATTAGAATCTTACCCAAAAAAGTACGTCTTCGAGATAACTTCCTCAGTTCCAACGTTATGAATGATCTATCGGCCCTGGTACTGGAAATTCTATTTCAGTATCAAAGTTCAAAGGGTAGGTTCATATGTACCAGAGAATTGCCGTTTAAGATTTCAAGACTAAAGAAAATCTCAGATACAGGTCAGGAGACGCCATCCATCGCAGCTAGGTTATTGCCCGGTTGCCACATACAACAGCATACACTTTGCATAATGGTCAGAATGGTGCTCACCGGTAAGTACCAAGAATAAATGACATTCAGTGGTGGGATCCATCGAGCCAGTCTCACTCGCGTCCAGTTCAGCATAGAAAAACCGTTCATTACTTGAAGAACTCACGCATTTGTAGGTGAATATCAGTCGGAGTAGAACTCCAAAAATCATTACCAATAACGTTGACCCTGCAGTTAAACAACTGAGGTTGCCCAGAAAGGAATTTTACACTAAAATCAGGGCGCTTTTCGATTTTAAGTGATAAAAACTGATAATGTTTAGGTCCATTCACAGAAGAAGGTAGTGTGTTACCGAAAACACCAATCCCATCAATTCAAAGAGAAAAATAATAGACAGAATTATAGACAAATATTGTAGACACAAAAAAATTGTAATTAACTGTACGAGCCGTGGCCAGCACCAGGGAAAACTATGAAATTCTTTTTATGTACAATATTTACTCTGTAAAAAAAGGAATAGGAAAGATAATGGGAATGATATTGCATAATAGTGCACTTTAATTTTACATATCAAATCAAAATCAACAGCAATTCAACAAAACACTGATCAAAAAGTCTAAAATTGTGTCCTACTATTCCGTTTTGACACCAGCGGGAAAGGATTTCAAGGTGCCATTCCCTCTAGTGGTGGAAAGGAGCCTCCCGAATTTTACCACTCAAAAATATAAAACAACTCTATAAAAGGGAAGATACCCGAACGAATCAAAAATGATAGAAAAAACACGTCAACAAACTGTACAAACAACAAATCTTGTTATATTTAGGCCCTTGTCCTGTTTGTGTCTGTCCTTCCAACTCAGTGATTTCACTAATAGGAGTGATTGAGATGGCTTTGAAGGAATGCTCTTTCATCCCGAAGATCACGATTGTTAGCGACTAAGATTCTGAAAGAAGAAGCATCTCAAGAGCTGCTACGCTCCTTCAAACGAATCGAACGTACCCAAATGTTGTTTTGAAATAGAAGGGTACATTAGGATCCATTCTCACT